TTTGTTCACCTTGTCATGTTAATTATAATTAAAATGCATTTTGTTTTATTGACCACAATATAATTGCTATTTGTCTGAGAGGGGCACTTTTGAATAATTTAGAAAAAGGGCAGGGGCTTGAGCCCCCAAAGCCCCCCCTTCTGCACGTGCCTGTTGCTTTGAAATAAGATTTCGGCACAAATGCAATTCATTCACTTAGTGAGTGTAACCGTTTTTACAGCTCCGTGACACAACCCATCAAAAGGCTTATATAAACGCTGCAGAATAAGCCTAAAGTTATCAGAGGTGCAACAGCGCATTCATATATATGTTTTCGATGCAGAGTGCAAATGGCTGTGCATTTATTTGTGTTTTTAACTCGATGGGAGTGAAATGTAACTGTCAGAACTCTAAGCTGTGTGTGTTGTCTGTCTCCCCTCTTCTCCCTCCTCCGCTCCACACCCACTTTTTTAGCATTTTTTAAAACTGGTGAGAACTAACCAGTGCTGAAACGGGGGGTTTCATGACCCTTTAAGTTCAATCTGAATAATTCAGAGAATGCTGCTCCCTGAATCTTATATTTCCACATGTAAATTCGAAATTCCACTCACATCAGTGGACAATAAACAAGAAATTGTTTTATGTGAATTGTGCAAATGCTGTGTAAAATAAGTACAGTAAAACAAACCAAAAAAAAAAAAAAAAAAAGTTTGGTTTCAGTGCAATTTTTCTTTTTAAAAAATGAATACTTTTATTCAGCAAGGGCACATTAAATTGATAAAGAGGTGTTTTGCCATCACAGCAATAAATTACATTTCAATTTATATTAAAATAGAAAAGAGTGAATTACTAGTAGTAGTAATATTCAATAATATTATTATTTTTATTCCTAAAAACAAGCAGGATTATTGGGAAACATTCATAATACAAAGTCTGTGTGATTGGCCATTTTAAATTTGAATATATATTTCTTCCTGAAACTTTCTTCTGACTAAAACTATAATAAATATTGTCTTCAAGTACTTTACATAGACATGCATAAATCAAGGTTGTCTGCTACTGGAAAATTTTGCAATTAAACCTCCGCAATTTAGGTGTGCATTGAGTATCACTACTGTATATTAATAATAATGCATTTCTGAATTCCATAACTGATGCCTTTTCAGCTATTTTCATAATTATTGCAATGCATTTCACATTTGTAGACACTATGAATTAGTTTCATATTAAGTTGCAAAAATTACTTTTCATTATTTTGAGTTTCATACAACAACATGTCATCTTTGGTGGCCTTTTATAATAATCTCAAATACACCTGGTTTAAAGCTAAAAGAATCCATAATGCTGCACATCACAATGAAAGCCATTTAAATGAAAAGGGCTGCATTATTAAACATTAAAAAAGGTTGTACAAATCTTGAACAATGCAATCTAGAGAAAACCAGACCTGCTGTAAGACAACACCTGCAGGCTCTAACATGCATTTGGCAAATGAGATAATGTGTCATAAGTTACATTTGTAAGGTTCAAGTTACCAGGACACAAATACTGCCAACAACTTTCACAAAAATAAACAGTAACAGTGAGACTTCAGTTGTCAAAAACCATGCAGAGTCTCATAATAACAGTAGTGAAATGCTGTACCTGTGTGCTATGAAGACGATGACTGGAACTCTTCTATTTAAGATACTGATCTATAAACACATACACACAAAAACAATTAAAAACTGATTAAGATGTAAGCTCTATGAGGTTAGGAAGGTGGTTACATCAACATATCAGGACATATAACTTTCTGTACTTCATATATAGCTTTCTGTATATAATTCATGTTCCTTCATTTTCAACTAGTTGGAAGTCTATCAGGTTACACTTAAAAAAAAAACAAAAAAAAAAACTAAGCACTCCAACCATGTACTAAATTTGTAACTCAAGATCAACTAAATGAAGACCATAGCCTATATTTCACAAAATGTTGCATATTTTTGGTAAAAACATTGAATATATGGCTAAGAGTGACATGAAAATGACAAATTAGTAAGCCTAAAAAAACCCTACAGAAAATACATTTAAACAAATAATCTGTTTACCTGAATACTATAAGCAAATTAATCTTTTATACAGGATTAAATGTCATATATTTGATTTGCTCTTTCTTGTTAGCTTAAACCACTAAAAATATTGTTCAACCACCTTCAAGTCGAAAGCCAGTCCTACACTTTGCAAAACACATTTGCAGAATTAATGCACATTTAATCGCTTTTACCCATAGAGGCCTATACAAACAAGCAGACGACAGCTCATGTTGTAACTGCTATAATCCCTTACACACAATTACGAAGCAAGTAATGTAAAATCATTTCACATTTGACATACTGGGCGTCATGTACAACACAATTGCTATCCAATAATATTAAGAGAACACAAACTACAACAAACTAAGCCGGGGAACAAAACGTACAGTTTTAAAAACACGTATAATCGTCACATTACAAAACGCGCTCAAGGCCCAGTTATTAAACGTGTCTGAGATCCATGAATTCACCCTCGTCTAGTGTAATTTAAGGACAGATAATCAACTCTCAAAAGGATTTCTGATGTAATTATTAATACAGCATTCCTGCATGCTACATTTTAAAATAAATAAAACATAGGCATGGCCGCCCACAGTATTGAGTGTCATAGTAACACACATACACCCCAACAAAACTGACACGAAGAACTAACGCCCCTAACTGCTGTAAAATATACATTTGCGTAATGCAAAGGCGGCGCAAAATGAGAGAAAAAAACAAGTTTCCAGTTGTTACTTGCCAGTTAGCTTAAGCTAATTGCTAGCGTGCGACCTCCATTTCACTGTCCCGATCGTGCGCAGTCTCGCTTACACAAAAGATACTTTCATTCCAGCTATTTTGTTCCTTATAGACTCACTCATGCGGTCTCAAGGTGTATATGACGCAGAAATACAACGGAATACAATTCGAAATGGGCTCTGCGGTATGTACTACTGGTGTTAAATCTAACTCATTTCTGCGAATCGGTTCTTTCGAACAGCCAAAGAATCAATTACATCCGATACAGTGGTTCTTCTTCGTCATCTGGTAGTGACGCCATCACGTGGTCCCTACGTCCTGGCGTTCCAATAAAACCCTATGTACGTAGAATATCAGCTGCTGATTATTACGTTATTGATAAGCGTGTTTATTGTATGTTTATAGGATTTAATGTGTCCCAGTGCCGCAAACGGATCATACCGACTGGTTTCTTGAACCGATTCAAAAAGGGATTCGTTTGCTAATCGTAAGTAGTAAGAGCACTGGTCACGGAGAGCTGCCACGTGAGAAGCGGTTATCGTGTACACGTAATAAATGTATTATTTAATGCCAAACTAATTTAGAGAGAGTTCATATTCATGCAAAATATGCTGGAGACATTTTTAAATATTTTAAACCTGTACAGTTTCCTCAACAGACAGACAATAAAACAGATCTGCACCGACTAGGTTTATATAACGTTAACTTTACCTTCCCCTCGTGCAGAAAAATACATAAACATACATTAAGAAAAGTACTTCACATTACGATCAATTAGATTTAAAAGCGGCAAAACAATGCACAGGTCTAGTGCAAAACCAGAGGACTGCACACACCCACTTTGTCGACACAGTAAAGTCAAAAAACGTTATTGCATCTAAAAAAAAAAATCGTAGTAACCATATTTAATAAAGACGGAATGCAATCGCATACAACGCAATTGGTAACTTAGATAGTTTAGAGAATAACGTACAATCAAATTGTAATTTAAAAACGTGACTACCAATACACAAGGGAGACATAAGTTACATGTTTAAACTCATACAACGTTAGCAAAACAGATTCGGCTTTATTTAATTTAGAGACAAAACCTGAGCTGTTTACTAACGTTAGCGTGTCCCAGGTTGTTGGACTCCATATGGAATAATCTTTGCTTATAATTTCAAATAACTGTTAAATATGGGGTCTCATGGCGCCATTACTGGAGCGCGAGGTTCTCTGCTGTAAAACTGACTAACTGTATCTGCATCTCTGTATTTATTCAGCACAGACGAACGGCGAAATAGCATGCATTAGTGGTCAATACAACTAGAAATGCATAAGTTACTCACTTGTTAGCATTAAGATCGTTCGGCCTACGGTCAGTGCAACGGTATGACCTCCATCTTCTCTTCTTGTTGATGATGGTGGCTAATATGCAGTATTTGCTTTGCTTGTAGTGCATAGCATGAGGCAAAGCACATTCGAAGCGGAAGTTGTAGAACAGCGACGCAGTGTCGTGGAGGTGAAAATGCACCATCTGAGAATATCTGGCATGCAGAAGTGCGCCATCTAGTTTGCAGTTGAAAATCTGACCTCCTCCTGCTTGGCAAAAACCATGCATGCAATACCCCATGTAAAAAAATCAAACTGGTACAATTTAATTATATTATTCTGATGCGATTCGTTAATAATTGGGGGTTTACATATTTTATTGTTATTAGTAATAGTAGTCAAACAATTGATACAAATATTTTTTCATTAAAATATCTTTTAAAATAGAATTTACTTGCATTTGCATATGATATCTACTTGTATTACACTGGGTATTATAATAGACTAATCAGAATGCATTATAAGAATTCTATATTTGATGCATTGAAGTTTTAGTAATGCATTTTCCATTTTTACACCCCGGGATGTCATTTTTGACAGACACATAGCAAATGAGTGCATATTATTAGAGAGGATGTTACACAAACATTGGATTCTGACTTGCCTTGTTGCCTTTCTTCAGATTCAGCCCTCAATACAAGATTTGGCAGCAAACAGAGATGTCCACAAAACTATAAAGCAACAAGTCACCACAATCATTCTGTGGCAAAAACAAATAACTTCTTTTTAGAATTACTTTAACACAACCCAGAAATGTATGTAGGATATAACATTTCAAAGATTTTTGTGAATACTGTCACATTAAAACACATCGAAGGTCCAAATAAAGTAGTTTTTTTTATAGTCAATCAAAGAATGACTCCAATGTGAAGCACTTTTATCAGGTGTTCTCTTTAATTCGCTTGCACCATACAAAAACTATTAAATTACAATTTAGACTACCAGATCTTTATATACAATATGTAAACATCAATCTGTTCTTCTTTAGACTGACAGCCACTCTCAACCGCTCTCCTTTTCTGTATATGGTTTGAAATAACATATGTATGCACTATTAGCAACATAACATAAGGAATGTTTCTGTTTGGGGTTCATAGATACAGTATCTTATGCGTTCTTAAGAATCTGTTCTTCAAACATTGAGAATACAGCATCATATGAATGATATATGCAAAATTATAACTAACAAAAACTGCATTAAACAAGTACTTTCTTAATCACCTGTACTGGTGAGAAGTTACAGTCCTGTTAATATTAAAATGTAATAAAAAAATAATAATACATCTCGCCAATGTTCAAATAAAATGAATTGGGTACTTAAAAAAAAAAAAAAGGAAACATAAATTACTCATCTTAAAAGTAATTATCTTAACAATTCTTTGACACCAACAATATAAACAGGACAAAATCTACTATCATTCATCAATGATCTAACACTACCTTTCGACTTTAAGGTAAACTTAAAAAGAGAACCATGAGATCCTACTGATGTCACAAACTTCACCATCAACAGATCACAGAAGTGAACAACAGGCGAAACAGAAAAAAACAAAGGCATTTAAGATACAGGAAATCAAATAAACAGAGCCTCACTCTTATCTAGTGATAATACAGTTTTACCATCTCTTTTCCATGGAGACACACAATCGAAACAAGATAGTGATAAAGTAGTCATATTTTGTGGAACAGTGTTTAAACTCATCTTAGCGATGTATCAAGATATAATGTAGTCTTTTAAGTTTTATATAACCAAATGCTCTTTTCATGAAATAGCATGAATAAGAAATGAATACAACACAATACTCTTTTTAGCTTCTGGAACTGGAAAAAAAAAACAAACAAAAACAACCATTTCGCTGTAATCATTTTTAAAATGACTGATGTGACTCATCTTTGAAACATTACCAGCAGACGAGGCTTTCGGAATATTATAAATATATTTTGGCAACATTAAAAAGATGAACTTAAAAGTTATCAGACCCCACGTACGACAAGATTTAAAAAAAAAAATAATAATAATAAACTGGTCTTTTTTGTTTACAATCGAACCCAACAAAGAAGCAGACAACCCTCTCAAACCTACAGCAGGAAATGTTTGGGTGGTCTTTGTGTCTTAGAATTGGAACATTCAGACAGTCGTATACAGAAAAAAAAAACAAGCACAATCAGGCAAGACAAATGTTAGTTAAAACAATTTTTGTAGTGAAGAATTTGACAACATCTATGTACAGCTGTACAGACATAAGTGCTGATGTAGTGTATGTTTTGTACATGTGAGCTAGGACATAGTGACAGCGACACTGTCCTTGGCTTTATCCACTTCACTGTCTTTGTCTGCAGGTGTAGCAGATACAGTCTCTCTAGGTGAGTTGCTCGGCTGTCCAGGGGCTTTGGGAGTAACATCTATGCTGCTTTCTGACTCTTGTTCTTGCTGTGAAGATGTTGCTGGAATGCACAAAGTCATTTCAAACACCTATTAATAAGACGAGCCATTCCATACACTACTTATATACACAAGCGTTCAGTTTCTTTTTTTGTTGTTGAAAGAAATACTTTTATTCAGCAAGGATGCATGAAATTGATGTTACAAAAGACTTCTAGAATAGCGAAATATATCATGGTTTCCACTAAAAATATGAAGCAGCACAACTGCTTTCAACATTGGTAATAATAAGAACATTTTCTTGAGCACCAAATCAGCATATTAGAATGATTTCTGAATGATCATGTAACACTGAAGACTAAATATAGAAATAAATGCATCCTTGGACTATAGTCTGATATTATGTCTTACCAGACTGTGTGCATGACTTCATGTGCTCAGGCCAGTGTGCTTGTTGGCAGGGATAGTCGCAGTAGCTGGTGTTCCAGCAGCAGTAGAAAATGGCCTCCTTTCTGCAGTTTGCACACCATTGTTTCTTTTTAGTTTCATCTACAGCCTGCTGTTTCTCCACCTCCATCTGTTTCTTGACCTCCGTCACGATTCGCTCTCGCTCCTGCTCAAGACTCTGCCTCATCTCTGCCATGGTTAGCTCTGAGTACATCACATTTACCAAATATGCAGTCAGGATGGATTGTTGATGCACAGTATATCGGTACCATGTCAGTAGGGCCCTATAGAATCGGTTTTATATTTCCCCAAATTCCATTTGACTTTTTCTCAAATTATTATTATTATTTTTTCCCGTTTTGACTTTGCTGGATTCCATTTTAATGGTTAAATTAAATTCTAGTAAACAAAAAGCATGTCTAATTAATTGAAAAAGATGTACTACAACAATTTATTACAACTATAACAAAAATGTAATCATTAGGGCTCTATGAAATTTGTTTTAGATTTTCCAAAATTGAAGTGCTGTAATGTGCTTGACATGTCATGTGTGCTTGAGTATGTGTAGTAAAGGAAATTGCTTGTCATTCACACAGACATGCATACTTTGTATTGTGATAGCATTTTTTTAGCACACCAATTCATATCATGTTAATTAGGTGTACTGCCTATTTTGATTTATAAATTCATAATTTATACATATGACAAATTCTGCATTATACTGTAAATTCCATTTTTATGACTGGATTCCGTGATTCTGTCCATATTTTCCACACTGCGGAAATCACAGGGATCTATATCATTTAACCAGCGATATTACAGATTTTTAGTTTATTGCTTTAGGCAGATATTGGAAAATACATGCTCATCCCCTGCACAAAATAATTTCATTATTGGTGCATCCCTACATTAAATAAACTACACTAGTCAACATTTGAAGTGGATCAAAACCTTTCATCAAAATTGTCCTAAAACCAAAATACGTTCTTGCCTTAAGACAACTCTGATGAACTTTTTTGATCCACTTCAAATGTTGACTAGTACTGTATTATCAGAAAATCACATACCTAAATTGTGCTTCATCTCTGATAATTCTTGTTGATGCAGCCACTGCAGTTTTTCAATTTCAATTCGCAACCGTCTAATCTGTAACATCAAAATAAAAATGGCTGTTTTATTCATATTTTCAAGGTGTTAAATAATTCACCCACAGTGCTTTGCACTTCTCCAGATTTACTTAACAAATACAAACCTCTGCTATTGTGTTTCCCGACGTGCTTTTGGTAAGGTCATTATATATCTCAGTCATTGTCCCTTTAATTGCATCCATGATCTGTTAATAATTTAAAAACAGTGTGTTAAACATCTATAATTGTGTTAATAGAACAATTCAAATGGTTTTCATCTAAACATATAGTTTGCAACCCCCATTTTCTTAGCAATCTCACTTTGTTAGTGTACTTCGCTATATCAGCTGCTACATCTGCAGATGTGGTGGGGATCTGGAAGTCTCCAGTTGTGGATGTTGATGATGAAGAGGAAGAGCTGATGGTGGGTCCTGCCATCATGGAGGCTGATACGGGTGTGCTGGTCACCAGTGTGACGGCAGAGGTGGAGGTGGTGTGTGGCGAGTCTTTCTGTTGTACTGCTGGAGAAACACAACCACCAATATTATTACAAAGTTTGGAACAATTAGGATGTTTGAATGTTTTTGAAAGCTGTCTCTTATGCTCAGCAGAGCTGCATTTACTTGATTAAAAATACAGTAAAATAGTAACATTGTGAAATATTTTTGCAATTTCAATGAACTTTATATTTTAATTCATTTTAAAATGTCATTTATTCCTGTAACGCAAAGCTGAATTTTTAGCAGCCATTACTCCATGTGTCACAATATCCTTCAGAAATCATTCTAATATGCTGATTTGGTGCTCAGTTCTTAAATATACTGTTGAAATACAGTTGAATAATGTTTTTTGTATTTTTGATCAAATAAATGCAACTTTGGTGATGTACATATGACATTTATATCGTATTAATTCAAATCGACTGCATACTTTTCACAGACTGTCGTGTTTGGTATCTGGTGCTGGATGAAGGCTGCTGTCCCGACGAGGATGACGAGACCTGCGCTTGCTGCCGCGGCTGTTGGCTGCGCTGCACCTGCGTTAACACCTGCGCCTGCGTGGCCGGTTGCGTTTGGCCCTGCTGCTGCCTATGCACCTTCTGCATGTGCCACTTTTGAGAGGACGTCTGAAACTTGGTGGTGGGGTTCCACACGACGGCCTGCTGCACCACAGGTACAGTATCTCGGGGCAGTAAGGGCCGCTGCTTTTTTACTGTGTTGGTGGAGATGGGTGATGAACTGTTGGCGGTGGAGGGAATGGTGATGGGGAGGGTGGAGGAGGTCAGATTGGTGCTGGTTGGAGCTGCTGTGAGGGGTATTATGTTAAGCGGTGCGGCCAACGGGGACTGAGATGGGTCCTTAACAGCTGGGGAGGAGGAAAGGACCGTCGAGTTTTGAGGCTGGGTTAGGCTGCTTGAAATTGGAGTGGCTTTACCTGCAATCAAAGAAAATGATAGCATGAAACATGGTTATTATAGTTAACCAAACACCATAAAAACACTTTTTTTTTTACTTGAAATAAACTCTTTTTTAAAAGATAGTTGCCAAAGTAACACTTCTCATTTTAATTTAGTTTAACCTGATGTACTAAAATAACTAAAACACACAACAAAATTAACATTATTAGCAGATATCAAAAATACTGACAAAATGTCAAAAACACAATAAAATGACAAACTAATGTAACTAAAATGAAAACTGAAAATATAAAAATAAAAACTATTTCAAACTATTATAAAAAAAGACATTTGTTGGTTTGTCCAGTTGAACCTGGTTCTAAATCCCCCCAATTAATAATGCACTCAGTCATTTATGTTAATAAATATGACACTTATCTTAGACTTGATAAATACATACATGCGCATGAAATACTGATTTAAGATAAAGGTTTTTAACTACAAAAAACGTCTACTCCAACGTACAAAACTACTGACTTAGAAACAAGACAAAGACTACAACAATATGACGGTAATATTAATAAATCTCCTCTGAGGTGATTTTCAATTTCATCACAATCATTAACTGAGGCGCAAGATGGCGCAGTTGCGTTTGTATGAGACGAGAGAGCGATTCCGATGTGTGGCAAGAGCGTTGACGACAGCATCAGGCAAGTTAAAACGTTTTCGCTTACCATGCCATTGTATACATTTGCAGTCACTCATCATTTATTTATAATGTAAGTGAAAATGTCTGATAATAATGGGGTTACTTAGTAGTAGCAGTCAGCAAGTCATGTGATCATGTAGCGATCAGCATGAAGGAACTCGGATCCATGTAAAAATAAAATAAAAGCAGTTTTATTTTACGTGGGTCGGGGTTGCTTTATAGATGTAATTTATATAAGTTATATATTCAGTTTATATTATTCATTAGTTATTTATTTCAATATTTCTTTGATTTATTTTTAATTACTTTATAAATAGAATTACTGAGTGCACCTTTAAACATCAAGTGATTTGTTATTGTTTTGCAAACTGGTTCACTTTTAATGTTAACATACAATGGTGGCCAAAATTATTAGAACACCTGACAGATCTGAAAATATTGAGCTTTTTTTGCCTCCAAAACATGATTCCATTTCATAATGTTTGTGAAACATGCAAATGGTTGCTCTGAGCACAACAAATATCAGATGAAGCGAGTCTTACTGTTTTTATCCACTTTTAACTTTCATATTTGGTATGTCCACCTTTTGCAGCAATGACAGCAGCACATCTCTCTGGCATAGTTTAAGTATATTTCCTGAGAACGCCAACACTAATGTTATCTCATGCCTTCTGAAACTCAAACCAAAGGCTTTCCTTTGAATATACAATAGATCTGTCCGGTTTATTTTCCAACTCGCTCCAAATTTGCTCGATGGGGTTTAGGTCTAGACTTTGAGGGGGCTTGTCCATCATTTTCAATGTTCCAGCAGATTCCTTCTGTCGCAAGTAGTTCCGGCAATAGTTCGTTTTATGGGTACTGTAATGGCCAATTCAACAAAAACAACTGAAACCTCTTAAATATGCCAAGTGTTCTAATAACTTTGGCCACCACTGTAAAACTTACTTGATGCTGCTGGTATAATGGCAATTGGCTGATGTTGCTAGAAGTTTTACCCAGACTTGATTCTTACAATGATTCATTAAGGAAATCTGACCTTCAGGTTTGGAGGCTGTGGGCTCTTTGAGTGCGGTGACAGCGGCTGAATCTTTCCTGTTCCTCTTCATCTCCTTCCCTGCCTGCTCTTCTCCCAGGTCGATGACCAGCTCCCTCTCAGAGTCCGAGTCCATGTCTACATCCACAGATGCCGGCTGCACGGCCTCTTCAGAGCCCTTGGGTTTCTCTCTGGAATCTGGGGATGCGGGAGCAGCTTTCAGTTTCTCAGGAGGTTCTTTCTCGGAATCCATACCTGGTTTGTCTTTAGCTATAGGCTCGGAGGTGTTTGTTTTTTGGCTGGTTTCTCCTTTGGTTGCTGTACTGGCTGTTGCAGCAGACTCTGTGCTGCTGTCTTTGTCCTCACCAGTAGCCACTGATGGTTTTGACTTTTTCTTGGGTGGCTCTTTCTCATTTTTATCATCAACTGTGTTTTTGTCGTTTTGGCCGCTCTTAGATTTCTGTTCATCATCGCTGCCGTATTCACTGTCGCTGGAGTCAGACTTGTCGGATTCCTCTGAATCACTGTGCTCTACTCCTTTATACACATCCTCAGATATTTCATCTATACCTGCGAGATAGAGTAAATGTTTAACCTTCAGGAAAGTAATACAATGGCTGCGTATTCTCTATCAATAATTCTTCTATTTGAAATGTTCAAAAAATTTTTTTGTTTTGTTTGTTGGGACAACAGTTTTATTATATTAAGAATTCTAAAAATGCTATTCTAAAAACTATTAAGATATGTAATGAGTTAAGCGAAACTGTATTTGACCTAACAGGGAATATATAGGCATAATTAGTCAAAAATGATTTATGTTTTGTCACAAAACCACGTTGGACTAACAAAACAAAAACGTCTTCTTAAGAAACATAAGAAAATACATCAGGAGAGTTTTAATAGAATGGTTTGTGAATGGCAGCAAAACACTGGAAGCTGTTGCAATTGCGATTGTACGTCAGTTTAAACTGTCAAAATGGCTGATGACGTAACCTTGACAGATTTCAATCTGAACTGACCCAGCTGTGCTTTGCAGCTCTCGATGGTCTTATCCAGGTTGAGTTGGAAACGGCTCCTGATCTGTCTCTTAGGGGAGGTGAGGGAGGGCTGAGCCCCCTGCTGCTGTTGTTGCTGGACACTTTCACTCAGCTCCTTCAGGTCCATCTCTGCTTTACTACGATCTGAAAGAGATCACAAGGCTCTCACTAGCCCATTATGAGCATATCTAAAAACATATGGACTGAACTGAGTAATACTGAAGTTTTAAAGGGGTCATATGATGAGATTTCAATTTTTACTTTCTCTTTGGAGTGTTACAAGCTCTTGGTGCATAAAGAAGATCTGTAAAGTTGCAAAGACTAAAGTCTCAAATCCAAAGATATTCTTTATAAAAGTTAAGAGTCAGCCACGCCTACCTAAAATGGCTTGTTCTAACACACCCCCACATGTCTACGTCACTATATGGGAAGATTTGCATAACGCCGCCCAAATGTTCACGCAAAGAAAGAAGGCGTAACTTTTATTCTCGCTGTAGTATTGTTGCCGCCGCCATGTCGTGAAGGCGCTGTGTGATTCTTTGTGAAAGCGAAACTACTTTGTTTGGTCTTCCAAAAGAGGACGATATCCGCTTCGTCATGCCTAGAGCTGATTCGTGCTGGTTGCTGAGGAAATACAACAACTTTGCGCTGTGGATCGCCGGATTGGCTTTCACCGTGGACGAAGCGGAGTTCAGCCTGGGGTCGTCACATGTGGTTGCCGCAAGCCTCCTTCGTCGAATCCGCCGGCCGCGCCGTTCTCAAGCCCGCCGCCTCTGCTCACTCTAGCCCTCCGGCCGTTCCTCACTCTAGCCCGCCGCCGCTCACTCTAGGCCACCGTGTGTGACGCTGTGTTTCGTTGTGAAAGCAAAACTACTTTTTTTTTAAGACACGACTAGAAATCAGTGGTTAAGTTGTATTTACAAGAACCAGAACACTTCAACCCAAATATACAGATGTGTGCAGCACATTTTATGGAGGACTGTTTCCTGATCCTGGGAGAGTAGACTACAATGCCGGCTGTTCTGACTCACAGACTGTAAGTACGTTTTTTATATTTAAAGCAAGTTTTTTGGGCAGTGTAGAGTAGGGCTTGTTGTTTGTCATTTCTCCGATCACAAATGCAGGTTTTATGTTTACATGGCGCGATGCACCGTGATTTTTTGAACCTTAAACCGCATAAACACATTTCATTACACCAAATACACAAAATAATGTTCTTTTTAGCAGCATCATATGACCCCTTTAAATTTTAATTCATGACATCTATTTTTAAACTACAAGATGTCATGTATAAATAATTTCCAGGAAGACAGAGAAAGGCTTTTTGTGGAATAACAACACCAATGAATTATCCACATTGAGACTTTAATGTCTTATTATGAAGAAATTAAGTAGGGTCAATTTTGATTTCATGTTTACTTGCACACAGGACAACATATTGCCTTGTTTCTGTTCACATTGTACACTTATTATGTTATATGTATATTTTAAACATTTTTATGCACATTGTATACCATTGTCTCCATACATACATTTATTTTAATTTATTGCCTTCAGTTTAAAGTAGAACAGTAGGCAGGATGTGATATAACATATGCTTTATATATGCTACCGTACCAAAAGTATGGAGTCAGTAAGATTTTTTCCCCTTTTATTCTGCAAGTACGCATTAAACTGATCAAAAGTGACATTAAAGCAAAATATTTCAAATAAATGCTATTGTTTTGAACTTTGTATTTATCAAAGAATCCTGTACAAATGTTTATCACTGTATAAGCAGCACAACTGTTTTCAACACTGATAATAATAATAATAATAAGTAATGCTTCCTGAGCAGAAAATCGGCATATTAGAAGATTGGAAGTAATGATGCTGAAAAGTCCAAGCTTTGCCATGACAGAATTATATTAAAATAGAAAAAGTTCATTCACAATATTTCTGTAAAAACTGTGCTTTCTATCAAATAAATGCAGCATTTGAAAAATATTACAAATCTTATTGACCCCACACTTTTGGCTATCATCAAATAAAACAATTAATCAAATAAATAATCAATGGATGAATCAACCGAAGGAAGTTTACCGAGGTTGAGGTTGAGGATGCTGCCAGTAGTGGGGGTCTTCTCCTGTTTAACAGGGGTGCTGGGAGCCGGTGAATGGAAAGGTTTAGGGCTCTCTAAGGTGTTTCCTGTGAGACCTGCTCTAGGAGAGGCAGGCGATGCTGTAATAGCAGAAATAAGCTTTAATCATACATACCGCTGTTTAAATATTATTATGAAATGTATTTTTGGTCGCACTTTATTTTAAGGTACAATTCTCACTATTAACAAACCATTAACTACAACTTTTGCCTCAATAAACTCCTAATTTGCTGCTTATTAATAGTTAGTTGTTAAGTTTAGGTATTGGATAGGATTAGGGATGTACAATATGGTCATGTAGAATATGTGCTTTATATGCACTAATAAACAGCCAATATGTTAAAATAGGCATGCTAATAAGCAACTAGTTGATAGTGAGAATTGGTCCCAATACTAAAGTGTTACCGCATTTTTTTTTTTACAGAGTCTAAAACCATAACAGTACATGTTTTTTGGCAGGTTGCTTCAGTTTCTACTATATAGCTCTTTTTAATATGTTTGACATGTGAACAGTGCATACGCTACACAAAGCAGCAGTGTGTTTTAATGTTCTATATACCAGTGCAGTCCACTGACTCCTCTCCAGTGTTGTTATGTGGCAGAGCCGCTCTCGCATGACCTTTCTCTGCAGTCTCCTGTTCTCCATCAGATCCCGTATGGGCAGAGGAGTTAGTGCTCATTGGTGAACGAGGCATGTCCGACATCGAGATTCGCCTTCCTCTTCCACTCCCTACGTTTCCACTGGACACCATGCTCTTTCCCACGAGCAACTTAGGAGATGCTGTTACATCAAAGCTGAACTTGATCTTCTCCTGTTTTTCAGGTTTGACGGAGCTGCTAGGGTTAGCGGGATCCAGGAGCATCTGGAACTGGTTGTCTGGTGTGTAAGGTGTGCGAAATGGAGCGTAATTGAAGACTCCAAATTTTTTCCGGATGTTCTCTACGTATACTCCCATCTCCTGCATGGCACTGTTGAAGATGCTCTTGGTCTTCTTCACAGAGAAGGGGATCTCTTTGGACATGAGGTAGCAGTTGTTAATAGGAACCCAGGCCCTTTAAATAAAAACGGATAAGTTAAGTTATGCTTGACCCCAACTGTTTTCTATAAATTTTGTGAAGTGTCATGTAAATTTGTCTTCAACTAGACTGAAAAAACATCGCAATATCATTCACAGCCAATCAAAACATATTAGTTTTAGCTATGAGAAATGGTATTTTGGAGAAATGTAGGGTTGCAACATCTGATAAAATTGCAAAAGAAAAACAAAATTATTAGTTGGGTCTGTGCACATAGAAGCTCAGTAACATTGTTTTATGTAAACACACACAAAACCAATAAGGCAGCAATGTCAATAAAATAATTAAAATATTAATCTTGATGAAGTACTTGTTCTTATTTAGAGTTTAAATGAATAATACTTAATTGAAATCCTGCACGTAACACATGTAATAAAACTGTACTGTAACAGTAACTGTAACAGGATATTAATTTATGAAGTTTCTTACTTTTATAGAATAAAATATGTATTTTTTGTAATAATGTAGCATTCATATTTAAACCTTTAATTGCTAGCACAGTTCCATTCATAGTTAAATTCAGAAAAGTAGGGCTGCAAAATCTAATTAAAATTGCAGCAAAAAAAAAAAAAATCCATAATGAAAATAATCAATAACATATTTTATTAGTTGGGTCTGTGCACATAGAAGCTCAGTAACAGTGTTTTATGTAAACACACACAAAACCAATAAGGCAGCAATGTCAATAAAATAATTAAAATATTCATCTTGATGAAGTACTTGTTCTTATTTAGAGTTTAAATGAATAATACTTCAGTATTGTACATACTGAAATGTACAAAATTTAATTAAATGTTAATAGAAAAATAAAAAATATTAATTTTCATGAAGCATTTGTTCTTATTTAAAAGTTTAAACTTAAATTAAAATTAAACTTCAACTATTTAAATTTAAATTATTAATACTTCATTGAAATCATGCTTGTAACATTTAATGTAACTGTACTGTAAAAGTAACTGTAATAGGATATTTAAGAACTTCCTTACGTATATAAAATGATGTATTTTCTGTAAATGTAGCATTCATATTTAAACCTTTAATTGCTAGCACAGTTACATTCATACATCTATATAAAATTGTAATATTTATTACATGATAAATATTAATAACATAAATATGTATATATGTAATATTATTTAATAATTATAATAGTTAATACATGTATAGACTTCAGAACACTGGGCAGAATGTGGAATCACTTTTTTTTTATACTATAATAATAAAAAAACTTTTAAAATTAATTTTTATCCAAGTAATCAAAGAAAGTCTCAACCTGTAAATGTGCTGTCAAAATCCTATTATGCAACACTGCTGACTGTCACTTCTGGTAAAAACTCAGATTAACATGGAGCAAATTGATTTATTGCTTGACATTTGTGAATGGTTTGGAAGACCCAGTTCAGCAGTCCTCACCTGTCATGCTGCCCAAAGAACCGTGCATCCACTTGTCCATCTTTGTCTCGAAGAGCTTTAGCAGGCCAAAATGGGAATCCCTTCAGCTTGGCCCAGACCAGAGGGTGGGGGTTGCTCTGATAATGTGATGCACAAAAAAATCGCATGAACATATGGTTAACTCACACTAGTTACTATGTGAAGAAGGAATTTCATTTTGTTTAGTCTAATACACTCACACATGGTTCACAAAACCAGTTGTCCCTTTTCTGGCATGCAGAGAGATAGCACTCTGGACAGACCTCGATCTCATTCATCTGAAAAGTAATTGTTTTTTTTTAAAACCTGGCACTGAATAAAGTGTTTGCGTATTTTGGCTTATAATTTACAGTACATACTTCATGTTCACAGATCTTTACAATAACTTTAGCCGTTGCTGTAAGCTTATGGTTGCCTAAGAGAAAAACAGACGCAAAGAGTTTTAACAAAACAAACATTCAGCAGAAACAAATTTGACAATACTGTTGAACAGTTAGCAACTGACCTCCATTATAAATGATGCAGTTGTGCAAAATCCACTTCACATCAGCCAGGAAAGCCTCAGTGGAGCCGTACATTTTCTTTTTAATATTCTGAATAAGAACAAAAAGTGAACACACTAATAAAACACTTTTATAAGATGCCAGATATTATACATTCCTAAGGACCTGAGTGTGTCGATTTTTCAGAATCAAATGCTTCACTTTCACCTTTTCTAAAGTGCAGAGATCCATGGGATGAAATATATACTCTGCATAATCAGGATGCTGTTCCAGCAACACCGGCTTCTGAAACGGCTCCGTCTGAAGAAAAGAAAGAAATATTTTTGTATTAAAGTTAAAAATAAAAAAACACATTGTAATACCTCAATTTTCACAGTAATCACAGTATTTTTTGGCAACCAGTGCTTCCCGTTTCTTACGGTAATTTGAATAGGATATTGCACGCACAGAATGACACTTGTGTTGGCATGCCATTTAAAAAACACGTTTAACCCAACCAAACAAACCAAATTGTGATGTGAAAAGCTCTAGTGTGAAAGCAATCCTAAAGAGCACCACTGACACATTCATGAAGCTTTTCAGGTGGGCAGAATGTGCCCGTGCTTGTTCTATGAGGAAAGGGGCTTAAATGTAAGACTCTCATTTCATAATGAAGTGTACAATGTTAAAAAAATGGGTAAAGCAGTACAATGTCTGATAGTTGCATTGTTTTTATCATTGCATTGCGAGATCTAGGCACAACTCTCTAATATCATGGACTAAATGATAGATCTGCAAAGTCATGAAACTTACACCAGGCTGCTTCATCTTCTGGAGAGCAAACTTCAGCAGGAAAGACAGCTGGTCCAATGTGAGCATCGTCATAGCTTTACTCTGAGTCTCTATGCACTCTGCAACTGTTATTTTCTGTAAACAAAAGCGAGAAATACTTGAAGCTTTATTTTAATGCAAATATTAAAGGGATGTTTCTATGTCATAAAAAGCAGAATTTTCTTCCTTTTTTGATATCATTCAGATATCATTGGCATGGTATGCCGCCAGTTACAGCTTATGTTTATTATTCAGCAATTACAAATTTCAAATGCAAAAAGTCAATCATAATTTAATTTACATACAGTATAAACATTATAAAATTACAGAAGCAAAATCAGCCAGTTGGAAAGGGTGGGAAATTGTCAGGTAAATCTGAAGTTTGACTTTTTGGTGAAAGAAACCTTGATTATTATTATTATAAATGGACTTTGGAAAAAAAAAAGAAAAGTAAAAACTTGAAAGTAAATATAGCTGATAGATATCACCATACTTCCCCAGTTGACTGATTACTTTAGGAATTGCAAACATTTTTTGTATTACAAGTTTTCTAAAATGTCATGTTTAGGAATATACAAAACTGGCATTATCTAAATAAATATGCAATAATTATCATACATTTCCACAACAGATATTTAAACACAGGATAAAGCCAGATTCAAAATGATTGTTTCATTTTGTTGACATACCAAGGTCAAAGGTTTTTACAAAATGGATTCCTGTATTTTTTTTTTTATCAAAAGAGTGAAAAATTTAAGGGGGTCTGAATACTTTCCGTACCCACTGTATATATAAACATGAACAACTGAAACAACATACAGAACTACCAAATTTTGCTATAAGTTTGATTGCATCATATAATAATTGCTGTTAATAGTGTTCATCGTCTGTTTGATTACGTCTTTAATTGATTTTTCCGTACATTTCTGCCATATGTACATTAACTGACAGTCACCACTGATAAGCTACCACTAAATATTGTAGAAACTTAATTTGCTATAAATATATATATATATATAATCAGGTAATTTAAATAAGAAGAAAACCTCTCTAAAAAAAAAAACTTTATTTTTAGAATAAAGATGGAACAAGACTGTAACGTTTGGTGTATGTAAGAGCTACTTAAGTCAAGGGGTGGGGGGGGGAATCTGAAAACAGCCTTAAAGATATGTATTGCATTTGAAATCTAGACACAAATAGAGAAAGTTCATAAAATAAACAACATTTATGCCTGTAGTATCTTGCCCTAAATAAAATATTTACAAATGACTAACAATCTGCATTGTGAAGATGATTTTTTAGACAAAGTGGAGCCGCATGCGCCAGTACCTCACATTCAGGGCAGAACCAGTCTCCTTCGGGCTCTGCAGCCAGTTTGAGGCACTTAGCGTGGTAGACGCGCGGGCAGAGCTCACAGCAGAGCACCTGGCCCTCGCGGTGGCACACCCAGCAGTAGAAGTCATTCCGCCCGTCCTGCGGTACAACATCAACAGGGTCTGTGGTGAGTGCGGGCTGCTTCACATAGTAAAAGGGACCATGTCTTAGTTCTGACTGGAATGCGGGCGAGAGAAACAGAGGGTTGGGGTTTCAAAACATGGGTATTAAAGATAACAAGACAAAACCAACAGGCACAAAGGTTATCGATCAAGAAGTGGCATGGAAGGACAGAAGAGGGCAAATGTAGACTAATGAGCATTGAATTAATGGCATTCAACCTGTAACATGAAAGTAAATGCATCCTTGTTAGAGAAGAAAACAAGCTTAGGACTAATAATTCATTGCAGCTGCATCATAGGCTGTCCCTGGATACACATTTCTGCTTAGCTTGCATGACAGCCGCCTGCCTTGCGTTTGTTTGGCTGGGCTCATTATATTAAGGCATGGACCTTAGGTTGTTTGCGAAAATTAATTTCACTGTCAAAAGATGACACTTTTATAGAAGGTAAAATGTTTTGTTTGGATCCACTGCAAAAACAGTAGTGGTCAGCTCGAGGATTTATCAATAACCTATACCAGGGCTTGACAATAAGAATGGTCTGTCCGCATATGGTTGCTGTTAAGCAAACGCTCATGGTGTGAGATGCTGAAACAGTAGATGTGATGATGCTTAAAGGGATAGTTCACCCAAAAATGAAAATTACCCCATGATTTACTCCCCCTCAAGCCACCCTAGGTGTGTATGACTTTCTTCTTTCAGACGAATACAATCGGAGTTATGTTAAATAATGTCCAGGCTAATCCATGCTTTATAATGGGAGTGGATGGTAGCCCAAAATTTGAAGTCCAAAAAATTGCACCCATCCATTATAAAAGAAGTCCACACGGCTCCGGGGGGTTAATAATGGCCTTCTGAAGCGACGCGATGCATTTGTGTAAGAAAAATATCCATATTTACAATTTTATAAACCTTAATCTCTAGCTTCCGCTAACTGTCGTCCAGCGGAAGACGTAGGACGTAGTTGTAGCATAAGCTCCGGTGAGAATATGCTAGTCTCGCGAGAAACAAGTTTTGTTTACAGCAAAGGAAAACCAGTGTCCTCTTGGCTTATATCGAAATCCTCCGACATTTTTCTTTACAAATCCTCGTTTTGTACTACTAATTCGTGAACGGTGTTTTGTTTCGCTCTCTCTTCTGCACTTCCACGTTCGTCACTTCCGTGTTCGTCACCGCGTTTGCCTACATCCTATGTCTTCTGCTGGACGCCACTCTCTCGTGAACGCACGCAGTTAGCGGAAGTTAGAGATTAAGGTTTATAAAATTGTAAATATGGATATTTTTATTACACAAACGCATCGCGTCGCTTCAGAAGGCCATTATTAACCCCCCGGAGCCGTGTGGACTTCTTTTATAATGGATGGGTGCAATTTTTTGGACTTCAAATTTTGGGCTACCATCCACTCCCATTATAAAGCATGGATTAGCCTGGACATTATTTAACATAACTCCGATTGTATTCGTCTGAAAGAAGAAAGTCATATACACCTAGGGTGGCTTGAGGGTGAGTAAATCATGGAGTAATTTTCATTTTTGGGTGAATTATCCCTTTAAGGTGTGATGCAATGGCTACATCGATCAAAACACGTATGCCAACAGGTCACAAATAAAACAAGAACACAGGAATGCATTAATACATTGATAAATGCTTGCTACTATAATAGCCTGATCAAACAGACCTTTTGATTTAATATTCATTGATTTAATTATTTCATTTGTTGGACATCAGTCCTTTATGCACTTAAAATGTGGCTTTGCCTTTGTATAAATATAGCTGTTATTCAAATTATAAATCCATATTATTATAGTTATTTAATTCTTAAAAACGAAGTTGTTAAAGATAATTTACTCCACATCTGACACTTAATTTAAAAACTTAGCTAAAACAGCTAAATGTTTCATTTTCTTGTTGCTAAAACATCAACAAAATGTTTTATGTTTCAAGAAAGTACGCTTGAAAAACAACAGGAAAATTAAGTATTTGCCTCTATTTGATTTTTTAATCTGCATAAATCTGTTAATTGTGAGAGCAATTACATTTAATCAGTAAAAATGATTAACATGAAATATTTAAGTGGTTAAAATGTATGAATTAGTTTACATTTAATAAACTGGATTCATGTATTAAATATATATACCTGGTTATTGTGTATTTAAAACATGTTTAGTTTTTTTGTACTATTACATAAATCTAATTTTTACTTATTTCAGTTATACATGACTAAAAATATGCATCACATTACGTTTATTATAAAACAGTTTAATCCAAATGAATGAACATTTTATATGCTATTAAAATACATAAATCTTAAATATAGGCCTAAATATTTTGTGTGATAAGAGTGACAAGATTTTGGTAATACCTAAAATTAAATAAATAAATTTAACAAAACATTTGCAACCAGAAAATTGTATTATTAATTGACAAGGCTGTTGGCAGATTTTGTAACATTTGCCAAAAGTGCACACAAATCTTAAAGTGGCCAAATATAAGGTAGGCTTCTTTACAGGTTTAGCAAATCAGGTGTAAATTTGAAAACAAGCGACCCTGAATGAACTACATCATAAAAAAAGTACATCCATATTAGGGTGAAGGTAATGATGAATACCATCAAATCTTGCAGTCTATCACCACGGCGAAGCCACCCAAAAAAACGGATCCTGACACAGACACTGAAATTAGTGAATAATGGACATGCCGGACCGAACAAGGGCTTGTAAAAAGAGCGAAAGTTGCACCTGGTCTTTACTGTTATTGACAGCTCCTGGTTTCTTCTTCTTTTTTACAGGACTAGAGGAGGATTCCGAAGGCGAGTGTCCATTTGAGGAATGAGGAGGGCTGGAAACCTTGCGCTTAGGGACGGTCCTTTCTGCTGACCCTTGATCAGAGACTGCACAGCAATGGTACAAATCACTGACATGAACGTAGAGTTAAAACTGTAGGTATAAACTAAACCATACTGAAAAAATTTTATCCGACCACAAAGCATCAACAAATATGAATGATTAACTCTGACATTTTTTTGCGCTGGTTTGACACTTGAATGTGGAAATAAATTTGTGAGAGTGCCACAAAGGACAATTCTCACCCTTGGATCGTGTTGCGATTTCCATCCCTTCAATTGCATCTGACTCCTTCCCTCCTCCTTCAGCCAAACTGCCACAATTAAAAAAAAAAGAAAATCAATGATATTTAAATGTCCATTTTGTATACCTGCTGTTTTGTCATTATGTCACCTGTATTTCTATGTCTTCTCTGTCTACATGGCATCACTAGGTTCTGTCATTCAGAAACATAGCTTTTCATATCACTGCTATGCTGATGACACTCAACTCTACCTCTCATTCCATCCTGATGATCCGACGATAGCTGCTCGCATCTCAGCAGTGTGTATATTATATATATATTATATATATATATATATATATATACATACACACAGTACCTTGCTACGTGTACTGCGTTAGGCTAACCGAGACTTGTCATTTGCACTTATATATTGTTGCTCTTTTGTTAGTTTTGACTGTTTTTATTGTCCTCATTTGTAAGTCGCTTTGGATAAAAGCGTCTGCTAAATGACTAAATGTAAATGTATTTCTCATGCCATTCTTTTTGGTAAAAGAAACCGCTTTACTAAAATTTTGCTTTAATTTTTGTTTTTACCCTTAGAGGGAATGTGTTTGGCAACAGTGACGCTAAAAAGACAATGAAATCTATCATAACTTCATTTTATCAAACATCAAGCAAGCAAATGTCTTCATATAGTACTTCACTGAATTTAGGTTTTGTTTCAACAGTTTGAATGCAGAAGAGAAGGACGCTTTGACGTCAAATTCACAGCATGGCCTCCATCAGACTCAACACAATATGCTTATTCTCCACTCCTAACAAATGCTAATCTGAAACTTATTGTTATAGAAATCGAACATTAAGAATAAGCAGATTAAATAAAACATTTTGTGTCAGGTTTAACTTGCAAATGAGAATTTGATACTAGCAAAAACAAATCAGCTTGTGGCAGTTCCTGATGGTTTCGTTAACAAGTGACATGGCATATAAAAACATCAAATTTTATGTAAATATATACAAAAAAAGGCAAAGCATTTTCATAAACAATAATGGGCTTTTCTCCAATCCAAGAACACAACAGGCAACCCAGTTTAATTCTACACTGCAAAAATTTAAATACTATCTAAACTATCTAAACATTTCTTCAAAACAAGAAACATTTACTTGAGAATCAAAATGACCTAAGATATTAAGTCTTCTTTTCTGAAAAACGTATGATTAAAACAAGATAAAAAATATCTACCTATGGGGTAAGAACCTTTAACTTGATAATTCAAAGGAAAAACAAGATTAGTTTTCTTAGCCTACTGGCAGATATTTCTTTTGTTTTAAGCAAAGACTCACTTAATTTCGATATTTTTACTTTAGAAAACAAGATATCATTTTGCTTCTGAAGTAAATATCTAAATTTAAGAATGTTTGTACTGAAACAATACAAAAATACTGAGTAAGACTATTATATTTTGCAGTTTATTACTGCCTGAAGTAGCGCCAAGATGGTTTCCTCTCACTGCCAAGAGAGAACTTTCTATTAGAAATCTCAATAAACACACAAATGCCATCTGAATATGATATGCACATCAGACCGATGGCCCATAACTCATCAGATTAGGCGTCGTTTGATGCCAATGCTGAACCTCTGTGGAAATTTCAATTTCGATGCGCCACTTGGACTTGAAACCTTCCAAGCGACATAACGTTTCCCATCATTTTGCAGCCTGAGCGGTTTTAAAAAGGCTCCTTTTCTCTCCTGATGCCTGGGTTATTATCACACACACCCACCCACCCACCATGTCTTGTTCATGAACAGAGGAACAGAGAACATCCTCCATGAACAAACCTCAAGATGATCAGAGAATCACACTGTTATTGACATTTCCCAGGTCTATCTAATGCGCTTGCCCTGATGTGGCAGTGATATCTTGCTCCGTCCTGCACCCCCAACCTTCAGAGATGCAGATGGGGAGCATCATGCACAAGGCAAACATCTGTAGAGCTTGAGCACTTGCCATCTTTTGGCCTTCTCACATCCAACCTACATGCACCATCCACTCCCCACCCGTAGCAGAATCCAGTTCCTCTTACGCAAACAACAACCCGAACACATGAGTTAAAAATGGCAAAATACAATCACAGATACACCTATAACCTTACCCTTAAACAAGCTTCCTCCCCAAAAACACACAGTCACACTAGCATTGTATGACTGTCCATCTAAAAACTGACATATAATAACAGCATACCTTTTTCTTTACAGGCACAGAACACAGATTCTTCAGGCTGAGCCTTTTAAATGTGTTTTTTTTTTCAGATATAAAGGCAGTGAGGGATGAGACAAAGATAGGTGCAGAATTTTCCAGAAGGGCCTTGCTCTCCCTAGTGCTCTCAGAGCGATTGTCAATCTTTAACCTCAGCTGTGTGCTGCCGATTGGTTTGAGAGCCACACGGAGACGCGCGATTGGGCGGCTGGTGCTGTGTGTGCCACACAGGCTCTCCCCTGCTCTGATACACTGCTGCAATGCAGGGAGGGCTGCTGCTGCTGCTGCCATTCACCGGGAAAATGCTCGTATTCTACCCTGAAAACTACCAGTGTGAATAAACATGGGATGTAGATGTTCGGACAATCATGTCAGATGGTTTTATTCTCCTCCCCTTCTTGCAGTCACGGTGAAGGGCGACCATTTTGTTAAGTAGGAGCCGAATGGAGATTTGACAAATGAGCGGCTCGCAGGAATGCAGCAAGGGCCTTGTGAACACCAAGAGACAAAGCAAAGGCTGGAAAATGTAACCGGAGTTGTGGTAAATTGCAGGGCTTGGGAATACTCCTTATGTGCTGTCATTTAGCTGCTCAAGACTGACTTACACTCAGCCGGCTGCCAAAATGAGCTCACGTACCCACTAAAAATAATTTCAATTGCTCAGTGATTTTGTAATAGGGTCAAGGATGCTCATTGTCCAGTCTGGATCCATTGATTCATTCACATGCATGTTAAAAGATGTGCACATACAATGACTGTTTTTAATGAGCATGTTTTTAATGCATCTATGAAAAAATGGAAGAAAAAAGCCGAAATAAAATAATAATTAAATAGAATTAATTAATAATAACAAATCATAATAATAAAAAAATTATTACATTTTCAAAAAAAGCCTTTATTAAATATATGTATTTTTAACCTTGAAAAAATATATTACAACTTTTTTGACGATGATTAAAATGTGTACGCAATTTTATTCAAGGTGCAAAAAATTATGATTACACATGACATTTTTTGGAGTAAAATACATTTAAACTTATCTTAATTTTTTTTTAAACAATAAAACAAAAATGAATCATTTAATATTTTGGAAATAATTTTTTTTTATTTGTCTACAACTAATAATGATGATTTTAAATTATTACCTATAATTCAAATGATTTGTTTTCTTATATCTCCCTGTTGTAATTAATCCTCTGCTCTTTTTTTAAACAACCAAACTGAACCATCCCCCTCAAATCTCAGCAGTTAAATAATAAATCACATTTCTAGAAGTATAATCTCAAACAGATATCATGAACTCACAAGTGCCTGATCCTGTCAATCAGACAGGTGAAGCTGATAAACAATAAGGTTTAATCACTTGCGTTAACAGACAAACTGTCAAACACGCAGGTTATTTTACTGACGATGACTGCTATAGCAAGTTAAGAACAAGAACAACAAAAAACGCCTCTGTTTGACATTATGGTTGTGGAAAAACACCACTAGTCCACTGCTTTGACCTTCTGATCAGACCCCTGCTGTAGTAAATACAGTATCCAATGACTTGCCATCCAAGAGAAATATTTAAAATGCTGGCTACAAATGTAACATCAAGTATGCCACATTAAGAAAAAATGCTTGCATTCACAAGACACAAAAACAGTCTTTGTGGTTGCACAGTCGAAAGCGGAAGTCTGTCTGAAATGGCTGCCAGCTCATACCACAACTAAGTTTTGATAAAATGCCTGGCCTGTCCAGAGTCTTTAAAACCTGAGTCAACAGACAGAAGCCTGTAGCTATTTAACCAAGAAAGGCAAACACAAGACTAATTCACCATCTATATGCATCTGTTTATAGAAAAGAAAGACTCTTCTATTTCTAATCCAATAACTCTTTCAACAGAAGCTTTCTGCTGTGTGGTTTTGCAAATTAGGCCTATATCCTGAGCAAAATGGACATTCAGCATTATGTCAGCCATTGAAAAGTGTTCCCTTAACTTGCAACCTGAGCCAAAACTGCTGCTCGATCTTTCTGATAGTCTACATGTGCGCTTCCTCTTACAGTCTGTACTGTCTGCTCCTCAGGGCCTTCCATTTTGAGAGGTCTGGCCTGTGACACAACCTAACACGACTGTGCTCCTCTCCGGCTTTAAAGAAACATTACTAGGAGAGTGACTAGGAGAGGCCATTTTGGTCACAGTGTTAGCACAGGCCAGCCATGCGAGCCTGGAGACTAAAACACAGTGTGAGTGTGATTTCTGAGTTGCCTCTGCCTGCCAGGATCCAGCTCTTTGGTGTTGGGACAGGTTTTTGTCCCCTGTCTCTCAGAAAATCCTGTATTTCTGCATGACACAATGCAACCATTAGCATGAACAGGTAGTGTAAAAAGCATATAAGCAATGAAAAATCTCTTACCTCTGTGGATGCATGGCTTAAAACAGTGGGTAATGTCAATGCTTATTAAAACATGGAGGACAGCCCTCCCTCTCTCTCTCTCTACACAGCAGTCTCTGCTCTCCAAGCCAACATTCTGATAACAGCTATGAAAGCACTTCTGTGATTGGCCGGTTTGTACAGGCAGGATGAAAGGCTGCCGCTGATTGGCCTACGGGTTTCCTGAGTAAACGTCTTTTGTTCAGTACAGACAGGCTGTGGCAGGATTGTGAACTGAAAAAGGAGCTAGGCCTTGATGTGTACAGCTAAAACTGAGCTAAATTACTTACAGTCAATCTCTTGTTAAAGGCGTTTTACGTTAAATTAAAACAAGTAGTAAAAAGGTGTCACTATACACAGTCAAGGCCTTGAGTGCTAAAATTAAACTCTCTACTGAGAGGAAAATCAAACTTAAATGATACATATTAAGTTCATCTATGTTTTTCAGCCTTAATACATATATTTGGATACATATTATACAAATTTGCTAATCATTCATTACCTCTGAATGATTCACTAATTCTTACCACATCATTGATTCTACAAATTATTTCATTTTAACAGCTTGGGCTGGTTATCTAGTTGTTTCTTCAAGTACATTAGTGTTAAGAGCGATTTCTACTTGAACACTAAAGAGAGAGCCTTAAAGGGACAGTTCCCCCCAAAATGAAAATTCTGTAATCACTTTCAAGTTGTTCCAAACCTGTATGAGTTTCATTCTTTTGTGGAACATAAAAGACAATATTTTGGCAACAAAACAATTGCTGGTGCCCAATGATTTCCATGGGGAAAATTCAAGTCAATTGGGTTTTGCAAACGCTTTCAGATATCAGACTGATTTTTCATCTTCAGATTATGAATCCGTTCTGTCAGAGGAGGATATCAAACGTGTTTGATATTTTGAGTCTGTTTTAGAAAATACATTGTTTTCATTTGTCATGCGTCTCCTAACGATGCACATTTCTGTGTACATTTGTTATCCTGAATGACTGAACAGTCTGGTAGTGTGTGATCCTCAGTCGTTTAGTGTATGATGTCCAGTTTTTCTACAGTCGGGTAAATGTATGATGCCTTGTGTTTTAAAAGCTGTTCAGATTTGAAAAGTCATGTAGTGTATTCAATCCTTAACTTATACTCAAAATGCCATGACCATATGTTTCCAACAGATCTGAGGGGGTGGGGCTTGGGCACAGCTTATCTAAAACCCACTCAAGTTAGACAGGTTCTGAAGCACCTTGCAGTGAGTCAGCTGCCAAAACACACCCCACGCTTGATGTCTCCTTACAAAACCAGACTTTGTGTTTTAACATCTAAAATGAACCAACAACACATGCACATTTAATCAAGGCAAACTCCTAGTTTTATAATGAGTATGCAAACATGACTAGGTGCTCCATATTACACATTTAGATTTTTACATTTTCTTGCCCATGCAAATCTCAATACCAGGTTGCCGGGTTTTTTGTGGGTTGTTGCTATGGTGTGTTCTGGGTGGTTCCTTACTAGCTCAATTCCTTAGACAAAACTGTAAGAAAATTAGGGGGTCAGGTTCACCCCAGTATTAGCAGTAATCAACATGGGCTGTTCAATTACTAATTCTTGAAGGGATTTTTTCATCAAAAAAATGAAAATTCTGTCATCGTTTACTCACACTCACGTCATACCAAACCTCTTTCTGTCTTCAGTAGAACACAAAAGTATATTCTGATGTATGGTGCTAACCAAATCAAAAGCCCTTGTAATTATATTATTCAAAACCATTAAATAGAATGCACAACATAGTCCTTCCTCAACTAAAAACATACATTAAGGTCAATACCGTTCAGAGACCTGGTAGGTCATGTCGCAGTATGTCCACTAGAGGAGGCTATTCAGCTTTCTGCTCCTCATGTTGTCATCTACGAAGACAGCTGTCTGAGACTCCCTGCTGCATTAATAAATCAAAACACATACTGACACAGACACACACTCACACAGCATGCAAGATCTCAAGTCAAAGAAATATTGATGATATGGAGAGTTTTTCATAGGCACACTGATATCATTCAGCTCCATATCTACAGTATCTTAAGATATTAACATGAGTCACAGGTTTAAAATGCAGTTTAGTTATAAAAACTGTATGCATAAATATACTGTATGTATTTTTTTTAAATATTGACAGCCTGGAAGATCTCTAAAGGTAATATCTATATCTATCTATCTATCTATCTATCTATCTATCTATCTATCTATCTATCTATCTATATATATATAATTTTTTTTGTAACCTTGGCCAGATCTGTGCCTTGCCAGAATTCTGTCTCTGAGCTCTTCAGGCAGTTCCTTTGACCTCATGATTCTCATTTGCTCTGACATGCACTGTGAGCTGTAAGGTCTTATATAGACAGGTGTGTGGCTTTCCTAATCAAGTCCAATCAGTATAATCAAACACAGCTGGACTCAAATGAAGGTGTAGAACCATCTCAAGGATGATCAGAAGAAATGGACAGCACCTGAGTTAAATATATGAGTGTCACAGCAAAGGGTCTGAATACTTAGGACCATGTGATATTTCAGTTTTTCTTTTTTAATAAATCTGCAAAAATGTCAACAATTCTGTGTTTTTCTGTCAATATGGGGTGCTGTGTGTACATTAATGAGGAAAAAAAATTAACTTAAATGATTTTAGCAAATGGCTGCAATATAACAAAGAGTGAAAAATTGAAGGGGGTCTTAATACTTTCCGTACCCACTGTATATATATATATATGTATATATATATATATAGCATTTCGTTTCTCTCTTTTATTAAACACTCAGTTGCCTTAAAGGGATAATTCACCCAAAAATTAAAAATCTGTTATCATTTACTCATGTCGTTCCAATTCTGTATGACTTTCTTTTTTTTCGGCAGAACACAAAAGCAGATCTTTTTTTAGAATTTTTGTAACCAAACTGCTTCAGTACCCACTGACTTCTATTGTATGGGCAAAACAACAACAACAACACTGAGCCATTTTTCAAAATGTCTTTTTCTAGGTTCCACAGAAAAAGAAAGTAATACAGGTTTGCCGGTGAGTAAATGGTACTCATTCCCTTTAAAGAGCTTCAAGCATAGTGATACAATTTCCTAACCTTGAATTAAACAGAACGCTTTTTACTCACTCTTCATTCATACATTCCTGAAGGGGTGATTTAACCTAGTAAATCTTTAAAGCACTTCATCTGGAGAGGGGATGGGCAAACGAGAGGTTCATGACTGCATGTTTGCAGGTAGAGAATCTATAGATCCAGATGATTGGGGGCTATCTCCTGTCCTTAAAAAAACTGCTATCTCCTGTCCTTTCAAAGGGGACAAACAAAGTGAGGGGGTTGGGGGGTAAACCATCTCACACTCTAGGAAGGGGGAAGTCAGACTGTGCTGTGAACTGGGGGAGGGAACAACAACAGGTCTATGGGCCTCTTTCTGGGTTTCTGAAGAATGTTATTGGGGTACTCTCAGTTTTGTGGTCAAATATGCTCATAACTGAAATGTTTTATCTTGTATGGCATGTTATTATTCTTCAGTATTTAAAATTAAGATTTAAAAAGTACAACTCTGCTTAAAGTTCTGCTGGGGAACATTTGGCCTAATGGTTAGAGAGTTGGACTCATAACCCAAAGGTTGGGGGTTCGAGTC